CAAAAAATTTGCTTTCGTGTCTTCTTTACACATTCTAAAAGAGCAAAGTATGGGCAAAATTCCAGCTTTGAAAAAAAGAACCTGTTAGGTTGCTTTTAGGATCACAGGCTTCTTAAAATCCAACAATATCAGTGCTTGTTTTAAAGGCACAAGTATTTTATTCCAGGTGTTTCTGGCTGCAGAGCCAGAAGCTTGATTCTCATAATCTTTCTTTTTTTTTTTTCTTTTTTTGCTGCAGATGCAGCCTCCTTACATACCATATGGTGGTAATTAACAGTTTCAGACTTAGTTCTGAGTTTTCTTCTGCTTCGATTATTGGTTGGTTTGGGACACAATTTTAATGTCACAGGAACAAGAGTTTTCTGTCTTGAGTTTAATTGGAGACAGGAATAATGTGCATCTCTAGATGATGAAGGAGAAGATGAGATCTGTTCAGAGCACTAAAATGTATTTTGGAAATCTTACCAAGTATAACTTGTTTCTTTTCACTTAGCTTTTCACTGTCCCTCTGTAGAACTGAAATAGCTCTCTGTTGGACCCTGGAAAAGGAGAGACACAATTTGAAAGATACAGTTGGAATGAAAAATTTCTTTTAACAGGAAAATGTTTACACTTTTTATGAGAGCAAGGGTAACATTGTGTAATCTTTAAAAAAGATATTGCTTAGTTGATGGTAAGTCCATTGTGTAGTGACGTGACTTTTCCTGTCAATCACAAAGGTGACAAGGGGGCTAGATTAAGTAAAGCTTGCCCAAGATTAACAAAGGAAGATTATTGACCTCATCCTGAAAGGGCAGAAGCCTGTTTTATCATTAAACCTTGGAAGAGGTATTTCCTCCATAGGTGGAAAGCTGTTTGGCAACTTTTTTGTAAAGGAACAAGTCTTTCTGTGGATTCTAGCTTGGAACAGAAGCAGAAGACGTGAAATGTGGGCCAGGCCTTAGTTTTGTTGCTGTTGTTGGGGAGGAAAGAACAGCCCAGGGTATTTGATTCAGCAGTTTGATTTCTGTAGGTCCTTGTCCGCCTTTCTGAAGTGGGAAAAGCAAGAAGCAGCAGCATCAGGTGTTGGTGAGTACACTCCCAGCTCAGGGTTCAGTCAAATGTGCCAGCTTACATCCGTAGAGCAGTTCGCAATGCAAATGAACAATAGAGCCCCATCCACAAAGCAGCTGCTAACTGCATAAAACTGTTACCAGGATTAACAGTGCCAGAGGCTGGAATGTAATCAAACTTGAACAGGTGAAGTGGTTACAGAGCTGAGAGTCTGTTCTCCTGTAAAAGAGTGTCTGTTTTTCCACTGTTTTTGTGACTGAGAGATAGGTCTTATGTGTGGCTTGATGGACTTAATTTTAAAATGTCAGCAGTAGGTATTTAGGTTCTTTAATGCTCTTCACAATGTTGCTGCTTTTCTCTCAGTAACTAAAAAAACATTATGTGAATTTGTCCTTTCAAAAAAGGAACCTGCTGAATTTTACTTGTTGGGAGGGAAGTTCCTTCTCAGGGGATTAATTTTAGTGTTGCTCAGGTATCTTTCTTGCCATTAAGGATTTCTTTGAGTGTTTTCAGGGAGATAGTTAAACTCTTGTATGTAGTATCAGAGGATTTTCTGTGCTAGAAGTTTTTAAGCTTTATACAGCCATTGATATGAGTAGCTTTTATGTGGAAGTATCCTTCGTTTTTACATGGTAAAAGTAAAAATCCAGAACCATTGAAAGTTTTTTTCACTTTCCCCAGTAACAGCATAAGAAAGAGTAAAACAAAACAGAGGGATGTAAAGCGAAAGACAAGATAGTAGTTGAGCATTTCACATTGTTGTTCTGAATGGCAGAATAAAAAGATCATGGACAAGTGTGGAAGACGCATTCTTGAGCTGGTGTGCTAGAGGATACATGTTGAACTCTCATCGACAGCACTAGCTGGTGTGTGCGCTCATCTGCTGGTATGGGAAGGAGAGGATTCCTCTCAGATTGCAAATCACGCAATGAATGTGTGATTGCTACAGATCTTTTTGAATGAATAATTCACTGGTGTACTGTAATTTAGCCCACTGAGATGTGATTGCAGCTGTTCCCCTACTGTATATGTGTTTTGATTAAGTGGAGTGTATCTTAAACCCCACAAGTGTATAAATAGCCCATGTATGTGATATGCAAACACTGAATACGTGCACACCTAACAAGAGCAGTCTAAGGAAAGGTTTTGGGGATGATTACTTAGATGTATATATTAATATATAATTTATCTATGTAAAAAATCTGTGTAGAACACTCCCCTTTCCTTTTTTGTCCAGCTATTGAAGTCTTCTTAACTGTGGTACTATAGATACGCTTTTAGCAGGACATCTCTAGGTTATTAATGAGTTTATCATTCCAAAACCTTTATAATGTCAGAAATTACTTCTTTTGTGCCTGTTTTACAGGTAGTAAACTAAACTGCAGAAATAAAAGTGAATTTTTCCATGCTTGTACAGAACATGTGAAAGAATTAGAATTGAATATCCAGAGTCTGTTCATGATATTTTACTCACAAACTACTCTCTTGTCCTCTCCCCCTCATGATGCCTTTTCCTCAGAAATAGAGGCAGGGAAATTTTAGTAGTTTTGAAAATACTTGTGAGTTCTATTTGAATGCCAAGCAATTTGTGATTTTGACAGTCACCTTACATTACTTTTATGTGTCACTCAATCGTTATGTTCTTCTGCTTCTTCTATTTTAATAAACTTGTTTCATACTCAGGAGATATTTATACAAATGAAGCCACTTGCATATACCCAAAATGTATGTGGTAAGAGCAGTGATGATTCCTGAGGTTTAGCCAGCTGTTTCAAGTACTTTCTGTCTGTGACCAATGTGTGACATACACAGAAACACGAGTGTCTTTGGGACCCACTTTGGGAAAAACCCGAGAAACTAGTTCCTAGTAAAATTAGGAATGATACTGTTCGTATACGTAATTGATGGTATAGGTGCATTTAAGAACTGTAACTAAGGATGGTATTTAGCTCATCTGTCCTCAAAGTGTGAATAAGAAAGCAGCTTTCCAGATATTTCCTC